CTGCAGAGCAAAGGCCACTGTGAGAACTTGTAGGAGAAGATATGATGATATGTTATCATTTTCGTGATAAATTGCATGACGATGTGCGTTCCTGAGTATGTGATGGATGCAGTCAGCTCTAGATGAGGCTTCTAAGTAATGTACTCATCCCGACAAGACTTCCACTCATGTGGAAGTCTGTGAGAGCACAGCTGGCTGTGCTTAATGGCATATAGTGCTGCACTGTATGTGGGACATAGTTTTAAGGCATTCATGTCCAACGACTACAAGTGTTGTGATAAAGAAAAATGCAGCAGAACTTGTTCTGATCGGACTTACATGATGAAATTTTGTGTAGTTGTATCTCAGATACAGTGTCTACTTGTTGGACATTAATGTTTTAGATGTTAAGCAATCTTAAAACATTTGGACCAATGGAAAGGTAAATTGACAGATATTAATTGCTAATAAAAATCATTATTGTCACAATTTTAATACTTTTTTTTGTAGTATTTAGTTTGTTCTGAAAAAAATATATATTATAATGTGTATCATGTATCATGAAAATGTCTTCAACTACCTTTAAAAAAAAAAAAAATTGCAATAATATCCACCTCTAGGAGCTTAGCCAGCAATGGCCGAAGTTAAGTAGGCACAATAGGCAAAATGAAAAATGTACCCATTGCTACATCTGTTGTAAACATGCCTAGTCATCTCCTACAGTGGTGCCACAGAAGTGTCTAGAGTGTAATTTTCTGGTTCAAAGACTAAAATGATGTATATTGAAGGTGGGAGGAACAACTACAAGAGCTTTGCAGTGAACATATGAGGGCTAGCTGCTAGCTGGCTAATGAAGAAGGGAGGCTACACAGCTAGGAAGCCGAAAATCATATATTTCTCAGGATTTCTTATCACCACGCGGTGGTTCCCAGTGGTTGTGTGATGTGTTTGCATAATGCATACTGGGTATTGTAGTTCAATAGAAGAAAACATACAAAAAAAGATAGAAAATCTTGAATTATGTCAATCCAAAGTTGAAGAATTCAATGCTGCACCGACAAATTCTACATAATATAACACATAAGTCATTAAATGCAAGTCTGAGGCCAGCAGAAGAGCCCATATGGCTGAAAATGGATGCTGCTGTTGCTGCACAAAGTGTGGAAAATGCAGAACTTCCACCACTAAAGATTCATGCTACCTCTTTGCACTCTAAAAGTTGAGAAAAATCTGTTTAATAAGCACTTTCTAAGACTGCCTTTAGTGCTGTCTGGCTTCATTTCTTCTAGTGGGAAACAAAAGTGAAGTTTTTCAGGAGTTTTAGAAGATAAAATCCAGATGTGAGTGCATTAGCAATCGAACAAAGGCAATAAGAGCTGACAGAGTTAAAAGATCATTGGAAGGAATCAAGTGTACAAAAAAAACAGACTACAATCAAAATGGAGGCATCCACAATGTTATTGAGGCTATTTCTGTCTATAATAATTGTTTTAACTAAGTAAGCAGTGATAAACATACTTGTTTTCTGCCAGAGGCTGCTAATTCTTTTCTAACTCGTGTCTAATTTGGATTCAAACATATAAAAAAAAAAGTTTGGATGCAGCATTGATACCAAAAAGAGTTCTTTAGATTGTTACTATGGAAGAGCTTTAGGAGAAAATGACATAGAAGATGGCCATGGATGCTTCTTTTAAGAAGATTTGTGAGTGTAAAGAACCTTTTAAAGTGTAAAAAGCCTCCACACAAGGTAAAGGTTCTACGCCAATTAAAGATTTTTTCCTAGAACGGCACGTCCAAGCCAAAAACCATTATTTTTTAAGAGTGTAAATGAGCAACATTATCAATGGGTCTGAGAAAGTGTAAGAGGCTTGAAGTGGTTCATTAAGCTTTGAATCAGCAGCAGTGAGTCATCGCCATGGAGATACCAGCATCAGCACCGGCCGCCACTTGAGTTTCAATTCGCCCTCAGGAGATCCGTTAATCATTAGGATGGTGGAAAGGAGGTAACTGGGGACGTAGGTGATGGCCCTCGAAGGTGTGTAATTTATCTGAGCTTTGCCACAAAGGATGTAGCGTAAGGACTAAGAGTCACTTTTTCTACCATTTTCACAACTCCTACAATAAATGTGCTCTATATACCGCCAGCTCTCCATCGTGCCTTGGATTTGTATAGCTCATGGTTTGTCATACACCTCGCATGCGGCTCTTTTACTGCCCTGTTGCGGCTCCACAGCAGAATCAGACTTTTAGATAAAAGTAAAATAATCCTCTTTTACAGTAAAATAAAGCTCTGCTGATCGTTCAACACAGTTTAACACTAAATGGTCTTAAACACCGGAGTTAATGTATAACCACTAATACACCCATTAACCCTGAAGACTGGTGCGCAGACTGCTGGTCACCATAGCAACACAGACAAAAGTCTCGACCTAGCTAGTAGCTAACGAAAAGGCGAAGAGAAAGGTTTAGGATGAATATCTATAGCTAAGCGACGAATAGACTCTTTTGCATTTATAATCACTCCAGTTGGTTTCCTGAGATGTTTAATCTGCAACGAGAAACACTAAAAAGTCATGAGGCTGAAATCAGCTTCTCAATCTTCAGCTTCTCATTCAAATTTTCCTGTTCCACCTTAAATGGGGCAGCAGTTACTTTCTGGCATCTCAGGCACCATTTAAGGTGGAACGGGAAAATTCCATTAAGAATGGTGAATGAGAATCTGACTTCCTGACTGCCTCATAAAATTCGAATGTTGAGAGATATTTTACAAGAAACTGTTCCACTTTTGCGCAAAAGTTTCCTGCCAGAGATGTGAGAAAAGCAGCTATAGCTGAGTTAAAGCTTAAAGCAGAGCAAAGTAAGTCTGTGTGTGATAAACAGCACTTAAAGCTTTCGTCTTTGAGAGAGAGGAGAAAATCAAGCTGCTTCAGATCTGAAAACATCCACAGGTGTTTCTGTCCATCCTTCCACTGTGAGAAGACGACTCAGCGCTGTGGGTCTGAAAGGATGTGTAGCTGTTCAAGAAGAACCTCACTGAGAAAAGGAGACACATCAAACAAAGAAGCTGAACAATGGACTGACCACCCCAGAGTCCAGACCTCAACATCACTGAATGTGTTTGATTACTTCAGAAAATGATCAACCAACTTCTAAGACTGAACTTTGGTGATGCTGAAAGGTATTTTCAAGCAATTGTCCTGAAAAGAGAGTTTAGGCTTTTGTGTAATTGTGTGTTAAATCTACATTTTCTGTCTTTGTTCTTTACAATAAATAAATGAACTGCAGTCTCTGATTTTGCACAGCACTGTACTCTGTTGGTCAGCGACGTATAAAAATTGGTGTTATTAATTGTTCACTGGAAACTGCTAATTTGTGCATTCAGTGTGGCTGAATGAGTCAATCACAGCTGAGCGATTCCCGACAGTCAAATTAATTACAAATGCTTTTTTATTTTTCTCAGCCATTCAAAGTCCTCACAGTTGCACCATGTGCTTCACAGTGGCAAGGAACCAAACATGAAGCACGAATGCTTTACAAACCAGAGCGTGATCGGAAAACAAGCACAGCATGTTTCAAGCCTTTAAGAGTGTTTATCCGTTCCCCCACGTGCTTCAGCTTTTTCCGAAAATGCACTATTAGCCATAATTAGTTTTCAGTTTCATCCTTTGGTAATGAAGCCGCTTGGTTTCTGTACGGATTCGGTCTATTGTCCGGCACAGCAGGAGGACGAGACTGGTCAGGGTCAGCTCGTTCCCAACACTCCCTTTAGATATACTTTGCCTTTGCTACACGAGTTAATCCCCTTAGCAAAAGCACTCATCCTTTCTTATTTACGTCCGCCAAGAGCAACTCAGGGATTTCACGCGGCAACTGGAGAAGCATTTAGCGTTATGGAGGTGTAGAACAAACGGCGGAAATGTTGGAGGGCTTTTGAGGTTGGCGTCATAATGAAAATATCACTGGGCAGCTGGGAGCGCCAGGCATCCACATACAATTAAGTCTACCTGCATGGGGTCGGCCCTCGCTGCGCCGTGGGTGCCAGAACAATTTCCAACCCCGACACCTCCTTACTCAGACATCTCGGCGAGTCACGATCAACAGGTTTCCATCTCCAGGCGGTGTAGGGTTCCCTGTAGCCGAAAAATACTGGAAAAATACTGGGCCACGCTAATTCAATTGTGCAGCTGAGGGGTGTTTTATCACGGCCCTCGCGACAGGTGAGGCTCGCAGCCTTTGCGCCTTTTGAAATGGATCTAAGCGCTTTCTAATTACTGCTCTTCAAGGGAGTGGGAGCAAATATATGCAAATTGCATTGTGTCTGCCTTGGCATCAACAAATCTCAAGGTAAAGTAGGGCAGATAATGAGGCGTATTAAGCCTCCACATAAAAATCGCACTGGAGAAAAAGATCGGAAAAAGACCTGGGTACGTGCATGAGGCATGTCTGAAAATAGAACGTTCTAAAGCAGGGGTGTCAAACTCATCCACTAAAAGGGTCATTTAAAAAAAAATCTCAACAGATTTGTGGGCCGGCTGGGATTTTTATTTCATTTTACTTACTATTTTGCTATGACCTGAACTGGCCATTGATGCGAAACCGGCAACAGCAAAATAGGCACTGAATGCTTTACCTATTCAAAGATAATAAAGAAAAAAAACTAATTGTTTTCAATAAACCAAGTTACATTATCCACTGTTAAACCTCTTTAAATGTCCAAACCTTGAACAAGACATCAGGCTTTTCTTTTCTTTTTTGTGTTCCCGCTGACCCATAGATTACTTTTGGGGAAGGGGGTCACATATTATGTTGCAGTGCATGCTGGGGATTGTAGTGCACCTGATGGTGAAAAGGGCTAATATGAATTGAAAATTAGAATAATATGTGTGCCAAAGTGCATTGTGTGACCCACAGCCTTGTGTTTGACACATGGGTTCTAAAACATGGACATACCTACTTATTTCACTCCTGATTTCCATATTTTAGAATAATTCTTAAGTCGTCAGAACTATGAAGGAAATATG